CGATCACAAAGAACAAAATGAACGAGGTCAAGAACTACACAACAAGCAACAAACTCATTTCTCTCAGCTAATGTCACGCTGTGATACAATGACTGCATTGTTTTCTCAAATGATAAAATTAGAACCTGAATTACTTCGCTCTGGAGAATTTCCTTTGTTAGTAATTAAATCTTGTCAGAACAAACCAACCGTTACATCACGACTGTGTCCTTTGTGCATGTGTGGCCCGTTGTGGGACAGCAGAGACGGGACACAGCAGTGATGTCTTGGCTGGCAAGAAGCGTCTGGAGGGGACAGAGCAACAGCAGAGCGGCTGTACAGAGTTCTGGTGCCCCCTGGAGGCTGTTTGCATCATTGCACGTAGTGAAAAGCCATCTCAATTACTATCACAATGTCAAGTCAGATCTGTATACAGGACAGACCAACAATAGTTTCACAGCATGGACAATCAGAATGACAAAATTATATACTGTAAATGTAGTGGTTTAATATGAATAGATAAAACTTTCAAAAACAGCTGTACAGTTTAGTTTAAATATCTAAAACTTTTCATTAGAGGTCAAACCCTGATGTAAAAACTATTAAACCATTATACAAGTTAAAAAACTAATCCCTGTCTGAGTGCACACAGTCAACTCCAACATATACACTCACAATACAGCGCACAGATATTTTTCCTGATAAATGATGACAGTGGGTAGAACTTGCTTTCAGTTATTCCACCGAGTCTTAAAAGAAAAACTTTATTAGTTAGAAACCCATGGCATCCTTATTTACAGTGATAGAAAAAGTAAAAGAAAAATAAATTTACTGTAGTTAATAGGCAGCTATAATCATCATTCTTTAGTATGATAAACTCCATTAGAAGTCCTGTTTCCATCCCAGTGTGGACACATGGTTGTGCGGTGCTGATTCACCGCAGGGTAAATGCAGTTTGTCCATGTTGGGAACAGGTGGGCCATGCACTATAGGCTGTCACCATCATGACTTACTCTGGTTTAAAGTAAGCCACCTAAACCTGAGTCAAGCACACAGACAGCTGGTTAACCCACTAGTCAGGCTTAATGATACAAGCATCTAAATGTCTGTCCCTGTCTTACCCCTCACACAGTTATGGTCTCAGCCCTCATTGGGGCCCTCTGCTGCTCGGATCGGGCCAGCTCTCTCCCAGCCTCTCTGCGTTTTCTCTGCTCCACGTACTGCTTCACATACCGGATGGTCTGGAAGGTGATCACAGTGCCGGCGATGTACAGGATAGCAGTGATGAGTCCGAACAGAGCCACTGCCGCATCCCCCCCGCCCACATTACAGGTCATCCAGGTGTAGCCATTACGCATGTACAACCTCTCTCTCTGTTTGCACACATCTGTGGCGTTGACCCCGATGATGAAGTGCAGGTAGAGACCCACAGCCACCACGTACATCACTGCGCCCACTGCCTGAAACACCAGAGCTCCGACTAGAATCCTCAGGGGCATCATGTGAGCGGGTTTGTTACCAATGACCACAAACAACACTGAAACAACCCCGAACGTCAGGCTGAAGGTGATGCCCCCGTAGATCGCCGGTGCCCTCATCTGACTATACTGCATATCCAGGTCTCGCACCTGCTGCAACTCAGTGCCCTGCAGGTTAAAGTCGGTGTTGATGTCGTAGCTCGTCATCCCGCCCCGTGCGGACATGCCTGATGTCACCATCCAAGCTGCCACCACACATATCAGGACCAGGGCGTTGGTCAACACGGCACAGATCAGCACGATGCCTGGGAAGGAAAACAGACACATGAAAACAAGTGAGGGAGAATCTCACAAGACTAGAGCTGCAACTAAAGAATATTTTCACTACTGTTTTGGTCTGGAACATTTAAATGATATAAAATAAGAAAAAAGGCAGCAAATTCTCACACCTGAAAGCTGGAACCTGAACTTTTTTTTTTGCTTGATAAATTACTTAAATGGCCAACTGTTTATCAAAACAGCTATTTTTCCTATCTGTTACTAGGCTGTTAGTTTTGGAGGGACACAGATTAGAAAGTCATTCCTAAAGGATCAACTCTTCCATGGAAAAGATAAACTCACTGGGAGCATGTCAATAAAGAGTTAAAACTGTCAGCATTCTCCTTCATCCAAGTGTCATATTACTCTGCCAAAGTCTAAACTCTTGAGAAACAGGCCAGTAACCACCAGACAAACCAGTCTGTCCAGTATTCACTGTAGGAGGAAGCAATGAGCTGCACTGAGCACGCTTCTGTAAGAGAAGCTTTCATTTGATCCGATCCAGATTGTTTCACTCTGACACTGCCTCACCCCTCCTGGAGCAGATGTGGGTGCAAGTGGAGTCCCGGTGCTCGGCTCTGGGGCCCTGCCGCACATGTCTGGGAGGAGGGTCAGCCTCACTGCGGTAGTTCGAGGGTCGAGAGGAAGACCTTAGGCACACAGAAACCCATGATATCAAAGAAGTTATCAACCATTTCTTCTTCTAGCTTGTATTCTAGCATAGAAATTGTACTGTGTGTTGTTTAGTTTTTATTCCAGCATATTTAGGACATAATGTTGCACCATGGACAACACTAAGTGCACTTAGTGTTGTAACATAAACCTCCCCATGTTTTTTTTTTTGTAAAATATGTTATGTAATTCATTGTACTTTATGTAGGCCTACTTGAGTTTGGACCAAAATCCAAGCCCATTTTAATCAACTGTATATTATTTTAACAATATTGTGAGTAAAGATTAAAAGTTAAACTGATAGAAAGGTTAAATAAAATTAACTATGTATATTATGTAGCCTGCACACGTATGAACTCTGGTAAATTAACTATGTGGCTGTAAAACCCATAATTACTGTCAAAAGATTTAATTGTTATCAGAATTTTTGCCAATGAATTGTTGGAGATTTACTAGTGAGTTGATCACTGCAGCTCTACTTAAATTAGATGTTATGTAATAAGGATAGATAGATATTAAACTGCCATCCAGTGGATTTTATGACCATCACCGTCTGTACATGAACCGCACCTGCCAGATGATGAGCGTTTGTCGCCTTGGGGGTCCCGGTAGTGTCGGTAGTCTCCGTTTCTCT